AATTTTTGATTTATTGTAGAGATGAGGTCTCGCCAAGTTGCCCAGGCGGGTCTCGAACCCGCGGGCTCAGGCAGTCCACTCACTTCAGCCTCCCAAAGGCGCGGGATTACAGGTTGAGCCACTGAGCCTGGCCTTAAAATTTTAAATTTTCAGGAGTGGTGGCATGTGCCTGTAGTCCTAGTTGCTTAGGAAGCCAAGGCAGGAAGATTACTTGAGCCCAGGAGTTCAAAGTTGCAGTGAGCTATGATAACACCACTGCACTCCAGCCTGAGCAACAGAGTGAGACCCTGTCTCTAAATTGGAAAAAAAAAATATCCTGATACCAGCTTGAGCCTGATGCTCATAACAGGATGAAACATTGGGGGTCTTGGGAGAGGGTAATTGTATATTACATGTAAGAGGGGTGAAAATAGTAGTCTGTGGTCAGAAGGAAGATTGTGCGTAAACATGCACAAATTCTTTGACACACCTATTCTTTTGAATCCATAAGAGTTTTGTGATTTCACCAATGAATAGAATACTTAAGTGCCAGTTTCTGGATCCGAGAGTTAAAGAAAAAAACCATCAACTTCAACTTCCTGCCTCTTAAAACATCCACTCGCCCCCTTCCCTACCTTGGGGAGGTGAATCTCCTCTTTCTTTCTCTCTCTCTAACTTACTTTTTAAATAAACTATATGTTCTAATCTTAAAAAAGCAAAACAAACAAAACATCCACTCATGGAACCCAGATGACATGCTGTGAGGAAGACCAAGCGCCTCCTGAAGAGACCCATATGGAGAAAAATAGTATCCCCTTGCCCTGGCTGTCAGCCAGCACCAACTTGCTTGCCAGCCATGTGAGTGAGCCATTTCGGAAGGGAATCTTCCAGGCCCAGGTGAGCCACTTCAGCTGACAGCCTGAGGACTACTTGAGTAGCTCTGCCCATGTGGACAGAGAGCTGGAAATGCCTGAGAATCTCCATTCCCCCAGGTGGTGCTTTGCCAGTGACTGACTGGCATGGATGTATGAGGGGGGGACCCAGAAACCCAGAATTTATTTATAAAAAATTGTGAGCTGGGCTTGGTGGCTCAGCCTATAACCCCGCGCCTTGGGAGGCTGAGGTGAGTGGACTCCCTGAGCCCGGGGGTTCGAGGTCCGCCTGGGCAACTTGGTGAGACCTCATCTCTACAATAAATCAAAAATTAGCCGGGCGTGGTGCGCACGCCTGTAGTTCCAGCTACTCGGAAGGCTGAGGCGGGAGGATCGCTATGAGCCCGGCGGGCGAGGCTGTGGTGGCCGGGAACGGCCACTGCACTACAGTCTGGGTGACCGAGTGAGACTCCAACTCAAAAAAAAATTGTGTATTCTTTTATGTTTAAATTTCACTCACCTTCCAAGTACTCTCTGATGCAGTACACCTATCGAGACACTTTTTCCACTCATCAAATCAGTTTTTGAACTCATCAATTTTGATGTCTTTTAGTACTTCTGTCATTTTTTGTTTCATGTCTTCCTTTTAAGGACTTTTTTAATCTGGGGAAGTCAAAAAAAGAAAGTTGCCTGGGGTGAGAGCAGGTGAATAGGGAAGGTGGGGCACAGGGGTCATTCTATTTTTGGTCAAAAACTGCTGAACATGCCGGGCTTGGTGGCTCAGCCTGTAATCCCATGCTTTGGGAAACCGAGGTGAGTGGATTGCCTGGGCCCGCGGGTTCGAGACCCTGCCGGGCAATTTGGCGAGACCTCATCTCTATTATAAATCAAAAAATTAGCCGGACGTGGTAGCGCGCGCCTGTAGTTCAGGCTACTTGGAAGGCTGAGGTGGAAGGATCGCCAGAACCCAGCAGGTTGAGGCTGTGGTGGCCGGGAGCGGCCGCTGCACTCCAGTCTGGGCGACACAGTGAGACTCCAACTCAAAAAAAAAACAAAACTGCTGAACATTCAGCATGGTGTGGGCAGGTGCTTTTGTAAATC